TCAGTGCGCATTCAGAATTCCAGAATTGTTTAGGAATTTAAGGATGATCCCATTCCCATCCCATTCCACGGGCAGGGATTTTCCACCATCTCAGATTCTCTGAACCCCGTCCAAGCTTTCCCTGGACATTCCAGGGATCCAGGGGCAGCCACGGCTGCTCTGGGAATTCCATCCCAGCCAGGAATTCCTTCCCCATATCCCATTTTCCCAATCCAGGGAAGGAGCTGGATCCAAGCTCTGGATCCAATTTTCCAGCCTGGATTCACCAGAGCAATTCCGAGCCCGGGCGTTGATTCCTTGGATAATCTGGGAATGTCCACTTTTTGGAATTTTTATTGGGATTTACGGGAATTTTTGATGGAATCTGTGGGAATTTTTGTTGGGAATTTATTGGGATTTATGGGAATTTTTGGAAGAGTTTGTGGGAATTTTTATTGGGATTTATGGGAATTTTTGATGGAATCTGTGGGAATTTTTGTTGGGAATTTATTGGGATTTATGGGAATTTTTGGAGGAATTTGTGGGAATTTTTGTTGGGAATTTATTGGGATTTATGGGAATTTTTAGAAGAGTTTGTGGGAATTTTTGTTGGGATTTATGGATCTGGGAATGTCCACTTTTTGGAATTTTTATTGGGATTTACGGGAATTTTTGATGGAATCTGTGGGAATTTTTGTTGGGAATTTATTGGGATTTATGGGAATTTTTGGAGGAGTTTGTGGGAATTTTTGTTGGGAATTTATTGGGATTTATGGGAATTTCTGGAGGAGTTTGTGGGAATTTTTGTTGGGATTTATGGGAATTTTTAGAAGAGTTTGTGGGAATTTTTATTGGGATTTATGGGAATTTTTGATGGAATCTGTGGGAATTTTTGTTGGGAATTTATTGGGATTTATGGGAATTTTTGGAGGAATTTGTGGGAATTTTTGTTGGGATTTATGGATGTTGCAGCGATCGAGGATCCAATCCAAATAGCTGGAATATTTCGGGATGGATGAGCTCGAGCTCCTCGCTTCCCTGGCTTTCCACTCCAGGAGTAGAAATATTCCCGACGGAATCCAATATTCCCGGATTTTCCGGCAGGTACGGGAACGGCCAGGTCTACAGGGGTTACTTCAAGGACGACGTGCGCCACGGATTCGGGATCCTGGAGAATTCCTCGGCTCAGCGTCCCTTCAAATACACCGGCCACTGGGAAAAGGACAAAAAGAGCGGATACGGAGTCTGGGAAGACAAGGAGAGGTAAAAGCGGGATGGATCCGAGGTGTGGGACAGCTTCGGGATCGCTGGGATCCTTCCTGGACGTTTGGGATGGATCCATGGAGATGTAAGGCTGGAATTCCTCGGGAAACGTTCCCAGAGCTCCGTTTGCGCGGGAGAACCCGGGAGGGACGGATTCGACGGGGGGAGAGGTGGGAAAAGCAGGGAAAAATCCATGGATGGGGTTTTGGTGGCATTCCAGAGGGGAGAGGTACATCGGGATGTGGTGGGATGACCGCAGGCACGGAGATGGAATCGTGGTGACGCACTCGGGGCTCTGCTACCAGAGGAGGTTCCAGGCGGATAAAATGGTGGTGAGTCCGGGATTTCCATGGAATCCGGGAATCCCCGGCACCGGGAATTCACCGCACGGGGCCGGGGGGAGGTTCCGGTCCGGAATTAAATCTCGGAGGATAAAGAGGGTTGGAGATCAGGGAAAGGTTTTGCTCCGGGAGTGGGTTGGGAATGGACATTCCCAAGGGAATGGGAGCTATAATATCGGATTGTATCGATTGGATCGGATCGGATCAGATCGCATCATATCAATCATATCGTATCAATCATATCGCATCAATCATATCATATCATATCAATCATATCATCTCAATCATATCAATCATATCAATCATATCATATCATATCAATCATATATCATATATTGTATCGTATCGTATCATATCATATCATATCATATCAATCAAATCATATCATATCAATCATATCATATCATATCATATTGTGTCGTATCATATCATATCATATCAATCATATCATATAATATCGTATCATATCATATCATATCATATCATATCATATCATATCATATCATATCATATATCATATCATACCTTATCAAATCAATCATATCGTATCATATTGTATCACATCATATCAATCATATCATATCATATCATACCTTATCAAATCAATGATATCGTATCATATTGTATCACATCATATCAATCATATCACATCAAAGCAATCATCAATCATATCAAATCAATCATATCAATCATATATCAATCATATCAATCATATATCTATTGTATCAATTATATTGTATCATATCATATCATTTCATATCAATTATATTGTTTCATATCATATCATATATCATATCTATCATACCATATAAATCATGTCAATCTTATCAATCATATCATATCATATCTTATGTATCATATCAATCATATCAAACTGTATCTTATCATATCATATCATATCAATCATATCATATCATATCATATCATATCATATCATATCATATCATATCATATCATATCATATCATATCTATCATATCATATCATATCAAATCATGTCATATCAATTATATCAATCATATCACCTCAATCCTATCACATCAATCATATATCATATCAATCATCAATCATATCAATCAATCATATTGTATCATATCATATATCATATCTATCATACCATATAAATCTTATCAATCATATCAATTCATACATTATCAAATCAATGATATCGTATCATATTGTATCATATCATATCAATCGTATCATATCAAATCAATCATCTATCATTTCAATCATATATCTATCATATCAATCATATATCTATCATATCAATTATATTGTATCATATCATATCAATCATATATCTATCATACCATATAAATCAATACAATCGTATCAATCACATCATGTCATATCTTATGTATCGTATCAATCATATCAAACTGTATCGTATCATATCATATCATATCATATCATATCAGTCATATATTATCAAATCATATATAAATCTTATGTCATATAAATCATATATCATATCATTCATCAATCATATCAATCATCAATCATATCAATCATATTGTATCCTATCATATATCATATCTATCATACCATATAAATCTTATCAATCGTATCATATCATATGTATCATATCAATCATCAAACTGTATCGTATCATATCAATCGTATCATATCATATGTAAAGTATCAATCATCAAACTGTATCGTATCATATCAATCGTATTGTATCGTATCAAATTGTATTGATCATATCATATCAATCAAGTCATATCAAATCATATCAAATCATATCAGTGTAATGTATCGTATCATATTGTATCATATCATATCAATCATATCAATCATATAATATTATATCTATCATATCATATAAATCATATCAACCATATCATATCTACCAAATCAATCTTATCATATCAATCATATCAATCACATATCAGTCATATTAATCATTATATCAATCATATTAATCATTATATCAATCATATCAATCACATCTTATCAATCATATCATATCAATCACATCAATCATATTATATCCTCATATTATATCTACCAGATCACACCAATCATACCGTATAAATCATATCAATCACATCAATCAGATCAATCAGATCAATTATATCATTTCAATCATATAACACCAATTGTATCAATCAAATCAATCAGATCAATCAGATCAATCATATCAATCACATCAAATCAATCAAATCAATCAAATCAATCAAATCAATCATATCAATCACATCAAGTCAATCATATCAATAATATCAAACCAATCATATCAATCATATCAAATCAATCATATCAACCATATCAAATCAATCAAATCAATCAAACCAATCAGATCAATCACATCAATCACATCAAATCAATCAAATCAATCACATCAATTATACTATATCAATCATATAATATTAATCATATCAATCATGTAAATCACATCAATCAGATCAATCAGATCAATTATATCATTTCAGTCATATAACACCAATTGTATCAATCTAATCAATCAGATCAATCAGATCAATCAAATCAACCATATCAATCATATCAATCAGGTCTATCAGATCAAATCAATCAGATCAATCAGATCAATCAGATCAATCATATCAATCATATCAAATCAATCATATCAATCATATCAATCATATCAATCATATCAAATCAATCTTATCAATCACATCAATCATATAAATCAGATCAATTATATAATTTCAGTCATATAATACCAATCAGATCAATCAAATCAATCAGATCGATCATATCAATCATATCAAATCAATCAAATCAATCACATCAATCACATCAATCACATCAATCACATCAATCAAATTAATCAAATCAATCAAATCAATCACATCAATCAAATTAATCAAATCAATCAAATCAATCACATCAATCAAATCAATCAGATCAATCAAATCAATCATATCAATCACATCAATCACGTCAATCAAATCACTCACGTCAATCATGTCAATCATGTCAATCAAATCAATCAAATCAATCACATCAATCAAATCAATCATATCAATCAAATCAATCATATCAATCATGTCAATCAAATCAATCAGATGAATCAGATCAATTTGGATTTTCCCAAAGAAAAGCACAGTTTCCTTGGAATTTCCTTGGAATTTCCTTGGAATTTCCTTGGAATTTCGTCAGAACCACTTCCCAAAGAATTCCCTGAAATATCTTTCCTAGAATTCCTAGAATTCCTAAAATTCTTTAGAATTTTCCCAAAGAAAATCGCTGCTTCCTTGGAATTCCCTTGGAATTTTCCCAAAGAATTCCCAACTTTTTTCTCCTCCCAAGGGCTCGGGAATTCTGTTCCTGGAGGACGGATCCGTCTACGAAGGGAATTTCACGGAAGATCTGACGTTTGTGGGAAAGGTGGGAATTCCCTCCAGAATTCCATATTCCCAAATTTTGGGAATATTCCTCATTCCCAGAAGGAAAGCCGCAGCCGGGAGATTTTTGGGAATATTTGGGATTTTTAATGATTTATTTTAATTGGGATTTATGGGAATTTTTGATGGGATTTTTGGGAGTTTTTAGGGGATTTTAATTGGGATTTATGGGAATTTTTGGTAGAGTTTTTGGGAATTTTTGGAGGGATTTTCTTGGGATTTATGGGAATTTTTTTGAGGGATTTCTTGGGATTTATGGGAATTTTTAGTGGAATTTGTGGGAATTTTTAGGGGATTTAAATTGGGATTTATGGGACATTTTTAGGAATTTTTTTTGGGTTTTCTTGGGATTTATGGGACATTTTTGATGGAACTTTTGGGAATTTTTAGGGGATTTAAATTGGGATTTATGGGAATTTTTGGTGGAATTTTTGGGAATTTTTCGAGAGTTTTCTTGGGATTTATGGGAATTTTTAGGAATTTTTTTGGGGTTTTCTTGGGATTTATGGGACATTTTTGATGGAATTTGTGGGAATTTTTAGGGGATTTTAATTGGGATTTATGGGAATTTTTAGTGGAATTTGTGGGAATTTTTAGGGGATTTTAATCAGGATTTGTGGGACATTAAATTAATAATGGGGAATTGAGTAATAAATACAGAATTTAGTAATAAAATTTAATAATATTAATTGAAAATTCATTAATAAAGTTCAACTAAATCAGGATATTAAATTAATAATGGGGAATTTAATAATAAATAGAGAATTTAATAATAAAATTCAATCATTAATTAAATCAGGATATCAAATTTATAATAAATAGAGAATTGAATAATAAAATTCAATAACTAATTAAATCAGGATATTAAATTAATAATGGGGAATTTAATAATAAATAGAGAATTCAGTAATAAAATATAATGATAGAGAATTTAATACTGAAAAATTCATTAATAAAGTTCAACTAAATCAGGATATTAAATTAATAATAGGGAATTTAATAATAAATAGAGAATTTAATAATAAAATTCAATAATAAAGTTAAATTAAATCTGGATATTAAATTAATAATGGGGAATTTAGTAATAAATGCAGAATTTAGTAATAAAATTTAATAATAGAGGATTAATTAAAATTAATTAATAAAGTTCAACTAAATCAGGATATTAAATTAATAATGGGGAATTTAATAATAAATAGAGAATTTAATAATAAAATTCAATCATTAATTAAATCAGGATATTAAATTAATATTTGAGAAATTAATAATAAATAGAGATTTTAATAATAAAATTCAATAATAAAGTTAAATTAAATCAGGATATTAAATTAATAATAGGGAATTTAATAATAAATAGAGAATTTAATAATAAAATTCAATCATTAATTAAATCAGGATATTAAATTAATAATGGGGAATTTAATAATAAACAGAGAAATTAATACCAGACAATCTATTAAATATTAAATAAATCATTAAATTAATAATGGGAAATTTAATAATAAACAGAGAAATGAATAATAAAATTCAATAACAGAATAGATCGTTAAGAACCGATATTAATCAATATCAGTTAATTAATAATTAATCAATGAATCACTCTTCGCTCTCGGCAGGGCCGGCTCTCCCTGGCTGACGGCTCCGGGCAGGCGACGCCGTGAGTGAGGAAATCCGGGAATTGTGGGGATCCCTGGGATCCATCTGGGAATTCTGGGGATCCCTGGGATCCATCCGGGAATTGTGGGGATCCCTGGGATCCATCTGGGAATTGTGGGGATCCCTGGGATCCATCCGGGAATTGTGGGGATCCCTGGGATCCATCTGGGAATTCTGGGGATCCCTGGGATCCATCTGGGAATTGTGGGGATCCCTGGGATCCATCCGGGAATTGTGGGGATCCCTGGGATCCATCCGGGAATTGTGGGGATCCCTGGGATCCATCCGGGAATTGTGGGGATCCCTGGGATCCATCCGGGAATTCTGGGGATCCCTGGGATCCATCCGGGAATTCTGGGGATCCCTGGGATCCATCCGGGAATTCTGGGAATTCTGGGCTGGGATCTCTGGGAATTCCGGGGCACTTCCTGAAGATCTCTGGATCCATCCGGGATCTCTGGGAATTCTGGGCTGGAATTCTTGGGAATTCCAGGAGCTTTTCCTGAGGGGTTTTGGATCCATCCAGGATCTCTGGGAATTCCGGGCTGGGATCCTTGGGAATTCTGGAAGCGCTTCCCGAGGGGTTTTGGATCCATCCAGGATCTCTGGGAATTCCGGGGGTGCCTCTGGATCCATCTGGGATCTCTGGGAATTCTGGGCTGGGATCCTTGGGAATTCTGGGAGCGCTTCCTGAGGGGTTCTGGATCCATCCGGGAATTGTGGGGATCCCTGGGATCCATCCGGGATCTCTGGGAATTCCAGGCTGGGATCCTTGGAAATTCTGGGGACGCTTCCTGAGGGGTTTTGGGTCCATCCAGGATCTCTGGGAATTCCAGGGGTGCCTCTGGATCCATCTGGGATCTGTGGGAATTCCACACTGGGATCTTTGGGAAATCCGGGGGCTCTTCCCACGGGGTTTTGGGTCCATCCAGGATCTCTGGGAATTCCAGGGGTGCCTCTGGATCCATCTGGGATCTGTGGGAATTCCACACTGGGATCTTTGGGAAATCCGGGGGCTCTTCCCACGGGGTTTTGGGTCCATCCAGGATCCTTGGGAATTCCAGGGGCTCTTCCCGAGGGCCTCGGGGTCCATCCCTGCGCAGATTCCAGGCTGGGAATTTGGGAAGGCCACGGAAAATCCCAATCCCGGCTCCTTTTCCAGGCAGCTGGGCCTGAAGGAATTCCCGGTGGAGAAGAGATGGGCGGGAATCTTCCAGCAATTCCAGGAATTTCTCCATTCCGGCTGCAAGGAGGAAACCGAGGAATTTTTCACGGGATTCCACATCCAAACGGGCAAGGAGCTGAGGAAATCCCGGGAATTCCTGTTCGGCCAGGGGTAGGGAGCAAATCCTGGGAATTCCCCGGGAAATCCTGGGAATTCCTGGGGAAATCCTGGGAATTCCTGGGGAAATCATGGGAATTCCTGAAAAAATCCTGGGAATTCCTGGGGAAATCCAGGGAATTCCTGGGGAAATCCTGGGAATTCCTGGGGAAATCCAGGGAATTCCTGGGGAAATCCTGGGAATTCCTGGGGAAATCCAGGGAATTCCTGGGGAAATCCTGGGAATTCCTGGGGAAATCCAGGGAATTCCTGGGGAAATCCTGGGAATTCCTGGGGAAATCCTGGGAATTCCTGAGAAAATCCCGGGAATTCCTGTTTGGCCAGGGGTATGGAGGGAATCCTGGGAATTCCTGAAAAAATCCTAAAATCCTGGGAATTCCTGGGGAAATCATGGGAATTTCTGAAAAAAATCCAGGGAATTCCTGTCCTGTCAAAGAGGAAATCCCAGGAATCCCTGAGAAATCCCAAGAATTCCTGAGGAAATCCTGGAAACTCCTGAGAAAATCCTGGAAATCCCTGAGGAAATCCTGAGAATTCCTGAGGAAATCCCGGGAATTCCTGAGGAAATCCTGAGAATTCCTGAGGCAATCCCAAGAATTCCTGAGGAAATCCTGGGAATTCCTGAGGAAATCCCGGGAATTCCTGAGGAAATCCTGGGAATTCCTGAGGAAATCCCGGGAATTCCTGAGGAAATCCCGGGAATTCCTGAGGAAATCCTGGGAATTCCTGAGGAAATCCTGGGAATTCCTGAGGCAATCCCGGGAATTCCTGAGGAAATCCCGGGAATTCCTGAGGAAATCCTGGGAATTCCTGAGGCAATCCCGGGAATTCCTGAGGAAATCCAGGGAATTCCTGAGGCAATCCCGGGAATTCCTGAGGCAATCCCGGGAATTCCTGAGGAAATCCAGGGAATTCCTGAGGCAATCCCGGGAATCCCGTCCATCCCAAGGATTCCCTCATTCCCACCCAGGGCTCCGCTGCCATTCCAGGAATTTTCCGGCTCTTCCGGCTCCGGAGGAATTCCCCATCCAGCTGGAATTTCTCCTGCCCAGCTGAGCCCAAATCCAGGAGAATCCCAGGGATTTCCGGGATTTTTCCCGTCCCTCTGGAATTTTCCGGGTTCCCTTTTCCTTTCTCACTTCCCGGTTTTCCAGAGGCGCCGAGGAGCTCTCCTGGAGAAACGGGAATTTCCCGGAGGAGCTGGGCCGGGAGCCGGAGGCGCTCCGGAGATTCCTGGAGAAGGTAAAGATGGGAATGATTCCCAAACCCAAATGATCGGCATTCCCGAATTAATCGGTTATTAATAAATGATTTAATGGGGTAATTAAATATTGAAATGTTTCATGTTTAATTAAGGAATTAAATGGTGCATTAAAATGGAATAATGAAAATTAATTTTTTTCTAAAAATAGAAATAATTAATTAATTAATTAAATTTAATAATTAAATAGTTAAATATTTCATATTTAATTGAGTAATTAAATGGTCCATTAAAATGGAATATTGGAAATTAATTTTTTTAAAAATAGTAAATTATTAATTAATTAATGAATTAATTAATTTTAATAATTAAATAGTTAAATATTTCATATTTAACTGAGTAATTAAATGTTCCATTAAAATGGAATAATGAAAATTAGTTTTTTAAAAATAGAAATTATTAATTAATTAATTAATTACATTTAATAATTAAATAGTTAAATATTTCATATTTAATTCAGTAATTAAATGTTCCATTAAAATGGAATAATGAAAATTAGTTTTTTAAAAATAGAAATTATTAATTAATTAATTAATAATTTCTGTTTTTAAAAAACTAATTTTCATTATTCCATTTTAATGGAACATTTAATTACTCAGTTAAATATGAAATATTTAACTATTTAATTATTAAATGTAATTAATTAATTAATTACATTTAATAATTAAATAGTTAAATATTTCATATTTAATTAAGTAATGAAATGTTCCATAAAAATGGAAACATGGAATAAATTAATTTTTTTAAAAAAATATTAAATTAAGAATTTCATTTATTAAGTTAAATAAATAATTGTTTCAATTTAATAATTCAATATTCAATATTTAACATTTAATTAAATAATTGATTATTCCATAAAAATGGAATAATGGACTAATTTCTTAAAAAAAAATTCATTAACAATTCAATTTAATAAATTAAATAATTGTTTCTATTTAATAATTCAATATTCAATATTTCATAATTAACTAATTACATATTCCATCAAAATGGAACAATTGAATAAATTAAATGTTGTAAAAAGAATATTAAATTAATAATTCAATTTAATAAACCAATAAATAATTTTTCGAATTTAATAATTCAATATTTAATATTTCATATTTAATTGAATAATTAAATGTTCTATAA